TATTAATTTTAATTAATTTAAAGTATGTTAAAATATGAAAATAATCGCATAATATGTATATATATTTTAGAAAATACAAGGGAAGCAGTGCTTCCACTGCTTCCAAAGACGGCATGCCACTGGCTAAGTTATAAATCTTCTTGTGATTCACATAATTGAGCAAGGGTGGTCAAATATCTAGCAAGCAGGTAGCTAACAACCCATAACCAGTCCTGGATATAATCATTGTACTATATTTTGGTAGTATTATTTAGACGTTGGATAACAGAATAGCTTTGTCTCTGTTTTACTGTAATGTGATTAGAATTTCCAATAGCAGAGCAAGGAACTAGCTTGATACACAAAGCAGCTTGTTTGCTATTGTGTGAGCTCATAGATCACATCTGAGAAGCAATTGAATACCTAGCATAAATTCTCAGAAACACTGACAACTTTTTGCAATCGAGTAATTCTTAATTCTTACATTCAAGTAACTTACTCTCATCTTGGAATCATTTGGATTAAGTTGGATTAATCCTAGTAATAAAATTTTTTATTTACTGTACATAAAAGTGATTTCACTGTAAAAATAAACAAAACTGTGTAACATCTTTCTGATGTAGTTTAAAGACTTACAGAAAAGAAATAAGTACTAAAACCTGTGGAAAACAGAAATCTATCAAACCACAAAAAATATTCAGTACCATGCAATTCCATATTAAACTGGCTTTATTGTATTAATAGTAGATAGGATTATGAATTGACTTTCTATAGAATTCCCTTTAGACCAAATGTACCAAAAGAGGTTTGTCTCTCCAGAGATCCATTCTATATTTATATCTATTAGTTAAAAACTTAAAGATTTTTTTATCAGTACTGGTATTGTAAGAAACATGAAAAATTATGGGAATATTGATACCTTCTAAATCACTTTAATCCTATTATTAGGTAGATTTTTTTTTCACAACACTCCAAATTAGGTGACAAAAGACTTTATTCTGGCAAGTTTTAAAATACTTTTACAACAAATGCATTTTGGGCTAATGTAGTGTTTTAGCCCTTCTTATCTCTTTTTGTACTCTCTTATATCACTAAAGAGGGGCTAAAACACTATATTAGCACAAAATGCATTTGTTGTAAAAGTATTTTAAAACTTGCCACAATAAAGTTTTTCGTCACCTAACTTAAGAGTGTTGTTGTGAAAAAAATCTACCTAATAATAGGATTTAAGTGATTTAGAAGATATCAATACTATACAGCCATACAAATTAGAAAAAAGTTATGGGAATGTATTTATGTTTGTTAGTTTTGTTATTTTGAAAGGTATATATACCTCATAAATCAAATATTTATACATTTTTAAATAAAAGTGATAGTTATTTAAAAATTTGACTAGAGTGATTGATATAAATGTTAAATGTTGAAGGATATAAAAATGAAGGAATATTAGATGTAAAAACATTATAAAAATCAGTAAACATAATAAATAAAAACACTTTTGCCTCACTTATTAAGGCTTTTCTTCACTTTTGTCATTAATATTAATGAAAGAGGTCAAAGTACTTTTATAATGCTTATTGATATCCATAATCTATTTTTACTTATACTTATTTGTATATTTTTTAAGCTTTATCAAAATGTGACATATATTAATTATAAAATGAAAATACTGTTCTTCTTTATGAAGTTATATGACATTCAATTATGTAGTTATTTGAGTTTTTTCAAATAAATTTAGCTTTAGTTTACAAATCCCTAGTTAAAATTGGTTGTATCAATGGATAAACTTATTTCTGTTATTGTTTCAAATATCATGCAATACAAAAAATTTAAATGTATTACATTAAACAAATAATTTAAATTTCTTTTAAATAGCATTAATTATTTTTAATTTATAGTAATAAACTAAATAATAATCAATTATTAGTGATGGATTCATTTAAATGAAAAATAATTGTTTAGGATGAACTAACTACTGTAGTTACTTGTCAGCTGAATCAATCTTGCACTTTAAACAGTGGATGAAGAATACTAATGTTTTCAACTTGGTTATCAGACTATCTTTAGGCAGAAAGCTGATAGTGGCATTGTAAATAAGGAAGATTGGATAGAGTAAATAAGCAAGGAAGATGGACTATAACAGTGGTGATTGATGTGAAAGACTAAGTTGATATTGCTAGGAAGGGGGAAAGGAGTCCTTATTCCTGCTGTTTGTACAAGTGTTGTTATTGGAGTAGTTATAAATATCACATACCTAAATTTTCTTCAAGGCTGGTCACGTAAATGAATCAAACACCCCAAAACCTTAATATAAGACCAATGGAAAATTTTAATTAAATACATTATAAAGACAAATGCTTTTGATCTATACTTAGGAAATATTATATAAAATCTAGAAAAATATTAGGGAAATAATAAAATTGTCTTTTTCGATCTATTCATTCAAAAAAACAATCAGGGTCTATGCTATACACTACACCTGAGATCTGCTTCAGGTCTGTTTGTTATCCAGAGAACAAAAACAGACCTGAAGCAGATCTTAGATGTAGATAAAAACATTTTATAGGTGATGAAGATCAGGACATAATTGAAACTCTGGATTTCAATACTCCCAACAAGAAGAAAAGTTTTGCAACAGTACTATATAAATTGGAAATACACTTTATAACTAGAAAGACCACCACCTATGACAGATTTAAGGTATATTCTTTGGAACCAGATGAGGAGTAATCTGTCAATCCTTTATCATAAGGCTTAAAATAAAAGTCAATAAAACTGGGGATAAGCATGAAAATCAGTGGCATGCAGTGACGTTTGATGATAGGGAAGTTGTGCCTGCCCTGGATAGAATCAATATAGCACTTCCACTGGGAATATGCATATAAGAATTTATATTCTTCTTCTTCTTTTGGGTGGAGTTAGATGCTGGCTACGAGGCTTTTGCATCCCGTAGATGTTTGTAGAAGGAAGCAGTATTGGAGACCTCTAGTAGCGGTACACTTTAGGATACTCCTTGAAGAAACTAGTCAGGGCCACCTGGCAGGTGGCGAGGAGGTTGAGATTAAAGTAGTTGGAAATCTTAGTATTGTTTTGTGTGATAAGTGCGAAATCGCATATAATTTTGTGCTGAACAGTGTTGAATTTGGTACAGTAGTCGAGGCAATGAGAGATAGTGTCAATCTGATCGGGGCAGTGACTGCATTTATCGGTACTTTTGATTTTCCGAGTGTAGAGAAAGTGATCAGTAAACAATGAGTTGGTCCTGGCATGGTTGACTAAAATGTTTATGTAACGATTGGTAATGGTGGGTAAGCTGGTATGTGGGCTGTCATTGAGCCAAGGGAAATTACTGCGATTTGGATAGAGGTTCCAGGAGTCTTCCATGTTGTGATGATGGTCAGAGTTTATGACTGCGAGGAGATCTTTGGGGTAATGTAATTGGAGTTTACAGAGTTAGGCGGATTAGTTTTGGTGAGGGCATCAGCTTTTACGTTAATATCGATATCTATGTCAGTGTTCTGCAACTGGTGTGCCGTCACATAGTGAAAGGTATGACGTGAACTTTTACATATTCTGTTAATTTCAAATTTTATTTATATATTTTTATCACAGTTGTTGTGTTTCTTATGCTTGTATTTCATTCTCTGCCACAGCACTGATGAAATAAGATGATGTTTGTTTATTCTTTATTACAAGTCACGCATTTTTACATATTCTAAGAAATTATATGTAAAAATAAAATTGGTCACAGGTGTTGATGTCTGTTTAATAACAATAATAATAGGTTAGTGGCGTTACGTAATTCTATTAATAGTATCATATCATACGTTTTTGAGGGGAATAACATTTTGGTGTTGAGTCATGGGTGTGCCACAAGTAGAAAAAGATTGCAGAACACTGATCTAGGTGGGCAGGAGTCCAGACGAGGTACAGTATATGTGCTTATCATGACTGTAGTGAATGTGTAGGAGGTTGTGGATGCTGCGGATGATAATAGGGGAGTTGGCATTATAGTTATTTAAGGCAAAGAGGATGGATTTGGAGTCAGTGCAGAGAATGGCATTGATGCAGATGGCAGTAGCGTAAGTGATGGCCTGCAGGATGGCATAGCTCTCAGTGGTAAAGATGATGGAGTCCAGGTGAAGAGTGTAGTGAGTCTCATAAGGTACTCTTGCCCTGCCCCGCCTATTGGTACTACAGGGTTAAAGAGGCTATGCCTTTTTCATCAACTTCAGAAACATCATCAAATGTTTCTGTCGCAGAACTTGGAACGACAAAGCTAGGCCCTGTGGTACTTCTTTCGGTTTCCCGTCTGTACCCGGCCCGGCTCACAAACTTGGCATAACTTTATGTTGTGCAACCTGTACTGCACTTTTGGTCCACTAACTAAACCTCTTCAGCTCACTTACATGCAATGTAACTTGCTCTTATAAGACAATGGACAGCGGGGTCCCCTACCCTACAAGAAGAGTGGGCCCAGCCTAGCGCGTCCACTAGGCAGATGATAGGTTTATGATCATTTCCATCAATTCCTTTAGTTTCTTTAAGTTTCCTTTACTAGCTGCTAGTGTTCGAAGTACTTGTTCAGGCAGCCTAGACCAGTCGACTTGGTCGGCCCCTCGGTGGAAATCCTCTGTGCGAGGACAGTCAAGTACATAGTGTCTCGCGTCACCACGAGGACACCCACAGGAGCAGCTACCATCTCCATGTCCAAATCTAGACAGGAAGTGGGGAAACCTCCTGTGGCCGGTCAGTATTTGGGTTGTGAACCAATTGCAACACACTGGAGTGAGACCAACTACAGGCACAAAGGCATAGGTTGGCCTACCTACTGTACTTTGAGTCCAGCGCTCTTGCCAGTTGATCATTGATCTTTTCAGCAAAGTCCCTTTAATATAAGTAGCCGAGGGTTCCACCATCCTTGTTATAAACAAGCCACTGGCTCCCACCTTTGCCAGCTGATCAGCATGCTCGTTGCCCAGGATCCCAATGTGGCCTCGGACCCACCGCAGGGCGACGTGTCACTCGTGCCTCGCCCTCAGCACCATGCTTCTGATCTTGTATACCAGCGAATTGCGATGGTACCCATCTTTCAAAGCCTGTAGCAACGACTGGCTATCAGAGTAAACCGTGACCGACTCTGGACCCGGATGTAATAGGATCCACTGGGACGCCCCCACCAAGGCCACCAGTTCCGCCTGGAACACGGACGCTTCCTCATTTAATCTGACTGACTGTTCGTACACTTCGACTCCGTCACAGAAGACGACATACACGGCACCTACTAAGCTGCCGTCTTTTGAGCCATCGGTGTATATTTCAACATCTGTACCAGTCGGTTCACCGATATCCCAGTCAAGTCCAATCCGTTGGTCCAGATGGACTTTAAAGACATCCACTCGATGTCTGAGCCTGACTGGGTACTTCCGATTACAATGCATAGCCTCTATTCCTTCTACTGTGGTTTGGTAGAAGGTTGCCTCTTGGCTGATGACCAAGGGCAGCGGGAGCAGCCCGGCCAAGACCAGGGCCGCATCCGTAAACACAGATCTGTACGCTCTCGTGATCCGCAGGGCAGCGGGTCTCTGAATCGTGAGCAGCGTCCTGCTCTGTTTGACGTTGGCAGAATCTTTCCACCATACACTGCAGGCGTAGCAGATGACGCGCTCTACGCACATCTTATAGATGATTCGAAGTGCCTCTCCGCTTAGGCCGTAGTCCTGTCTTGCTAGTCTTGATAGTGCTGCTATCATGAGGTTCTTCTTTTCTCGAACGTTCCTCAGATGGGGCGTCCAGCATAGTGTCTGATCGATGGTAACACCGAGGTACTTAAGCTCATTCACCCTTCTGATGGGGTTTCCCCGGATCCAGTATATTGGTCGGCGGGCCAACACTCCAGTCCGGGCCACCGTCAGGGCCTCCGATTTCTTGGGAGTGTAGTGAGCCATAACCTTGTGGGGGTCGTCGATATACACAACAGTGACCGTATGATGATTTTTTGGAGCCATCGGTGGCAATGAAAGTGAGAGCAGAGTATTGGCTGTGCCAGATATTGAAATAATGACGGATGCAGTTGCTAAGGCTGTTCGAATGCTGGAAGTTGTAATCATCGATTGAGATGTGATGGTCAGTAGCGTAGCGTGGGTGTCAGCCGCCCAGGGCGGAGGAAAATTTCGCCCCCCCTTATTTAGGTATCTCAATTTAAAAGTCTAAAATTCAGTTTTGTCACAGAACAAGTAATGAAAAATTCCGTGCTATTGCAGCGACCTGTTTAAAATATCTTTATTGGATATTGGTGGTGTATATGAATATGAATGAATCGTACAAAAAAAAAAAGTCAACAGGTCACGCAGGATATCCTCGGATGAAATTACTAGTTCACCCAGACAGTGAGCCGATTCACAGACTGTATGGACGATAGCACTATCGTAGGCACGACGCAAATATAGATTAGAATAGTTCAAATTTTTACAAGGTATTATTATTATTTATTGTGAAATTTTGCCGCCCCCACTATGCTACGCTACTGGTGATAGTGTGTGTGAAGGAGGTCATTGTGAAGGGGAAGATTGTCAGGTAAGGTAGAGATGTTGTGTTGGATGTTCCAGCTACAAGTGAAATGAATAAAAGGGACTTTAAAGGCGGCTATACACGTTAAGTTAATCCTCAAAGGATTGACCATGCATGCCTGACCTTGAGTAATTCCTGATAGTATGTGGGGGAAAACTTAACAGTTTTGGAGAACTGTACCGACCACCAGAGTAGAATAAAAAAACCATTTGATTTTTTTTGGCGCAGTGTCAGACTGCGTGTCTGTCACTGCAATGTCTCGTGAATGTTTGGAAGAATTATTTTCTATAACCTTATTAACTTTTATTATTTATAACCTGAAAAATTAATTTTTTAGGTTATAAATTATTTTCAGATCAAAAATATTTTGAGTAAATTAAAATTACAGTAGAGTCTCGATTATCCGACCCCCGATTAACCGACACCTCGGTTAACCGACCGTCCTAGTCGGCAAATTTCAAATGTCCGCTAGTGATGTGGCGCTACAATATTGGCTACTTTAATATTATTTTTACGTGTTTTAGCTGGCAACCCTCATTCGACCATGAAAGGGAGCTAGTATTTAAACGAGGCTTAATTTTATAATTTTTAACGATACAATACCGACGATTATTATTTTAAAAAATTTTTGTTAGGCTTAACATCGATGAAGTAGATTAATAGCGATATACTAATTACCTGGGATATAATAATATACTACACTACTAATGGATTTTTTCATACTTTTCGGTTATCCGACTTTTCAATTATCCGACCAATCCCAGTCTCCAATTGGGTCGGATAATCGAGGTTCTACTGTATAAATAATTTTAATATTTAGAAAACTTCTCAATTAATTTCTTCAGTTTCATAAAATATCTTTGTGCTCTATATCATTTTCTTTTACATTTTAAAAAATTTATTGTTTTAATATCCAAGTAAATTAAAACATGACAACTTAAAATAAGACAAAGTTTAATACAGGTATACCTCGCCTTACGTCGTTAATTGGTTCCAGGAGAACGACTTAAGTCGAAAAACGACGTAAGTCGAATTTACTTGTCTCCGAATCTACTTATCACTAGGCTAAACCGTAAATTACCATCCCGGTTCTGTATTTTATCTATTAATGCATTTTTAATAATATATGGTTAATAAAAATCTATTTTAAGCTTACAAACAAATAAATTTTAGTTTTTAATATAGTACAAAAAAAGTAATCTAAATTTACAAATGCATGTATGTACTGTAAATACAGTACATACTTGTATATATTTTAATATGATTTTATGTGCTTTAAACGTTTATCTAGTGATATTACGACTTCAATATTTGTGGCGGACAGACGTAAAGTCGAATAAAATGACTTAAACTTGATTTTTATTTTTCCATATACTTTTTTAACAAGCGACGTATAATCGGGAACGACGTAACTCGAAACGNTCATCGATCTTTCGCTGATAATTGATGCTTTTTAACAGAATCTGTAGCCCAAAATTTCTCTTGAAAAATTAATTTTGTGATCTGTAATAATTCCATTAAAAAATTATTCATATGAAAAATTAATTTTGTGATCTGAAATAATTCCATTAAAAAATTATTCATATGAAAAATTAATTTTGTGATCAGTGCTACCCAAATCACTACTACTACTATTTACACCATAGACTTCTATGCATACTTTTTCCCGCGACTTTTAATAGAATTTGTTGCCAATAAACATCCAAGAACAGTCAGTATGTCGTCATCAGATGCCATGGCCGACTGAATGACTGAGAGAGAATGGCGTAGCGAACATAACTGGCGCCCGGGGCACGATACTATATTGGCACCCCCTTCCCCTCCAGAAACAAACCTTGTTTTCTTGGTAACCATTTGGCGCCCGGGGCAAGCTGTCCCACCCTAGCTACGCCTCTGTTGAGAGCTTTTCTTCATTTGTGGGCGATAGGAAATTCTGAAGTTCTTCAAGGTCAGGCAGTTTCAAAGGATTAACTTAACGTGTATAGTCGTCTTAAGCAATATGGCTCCAGCGGGAGAGTGAATATAGTGTAAAATTTGGAGGAAGAGGCGGTCGTTGTTCGCCTTTTTTAGGTAATTGCTGTACTGTTTGATGGTGGTTTTTTGGAAGTGGAGCGCGATCGTAGTCCTTTTAGCAGACCAAAGAGTAACAATGTTTGGTTGTGAAAGGAAGACTGTAGTGTCCGTAAAATAAACGATTACGTGTTAACATTTATAATTAACTTTATTATGATAGAAACGTAACCTTGTGGTAATACAAACATAACGTTGTGCCTCCAGGTTTAAGTGTTACAACAGCTAACGCACGAATGACTTGAGACAAACGAACACACAAAAGTCAGATGTGCGGGGTCGCATAAGTAGGTCAAGGGGCAATTCGGTGTGGGTTATCCCCTGGAGGCTTACATACATAACAATTCTCCCACGCTTAATAAAATGTTATTTAAAATTTGTTCGTTTAGAGATTTAGGCGTTGTACTGATCTTCGTATTCGTGTTGATCATCGAGGTTCCGATTCATTTGCGTTTGTTATCGTTCGGCTAGATTCTCCTTCCTTCAAAAAAGAGACAATAACAAAGTTGTTTTGTCATTGTCTCCTTTTTGTTGAGTAATGTCGTTACAGTTCCTTCGTCATAGCTAATTGTGCTAGGGTGTGGACTAGCGACAGCTGGGGCAGTAGCGTAGCATAATGGGGGCGGCAGGGGCGGCCCGCCCCGGGCGGCACTTTTAGGGGGCGGCAAAATTTCACAATAAATAATAATAATATCTTGTAAAAATTTGAACCATTTCATTTCATATTTTTGTCTCACCTACGATTCGGACTGATTGAAATGAGCATGGAATTTTTCATTACTTATTCTGTGACTAAACTGAATTTTAGTCTTTTAAATTGAGATACCTGAATAAGGGAGGCGAAATTTTCCTCCGCCCCGGGCGGCTGACACCCACGCTACGCCACTGAGCTGGGGATGAGTCTCTATTGTTTACTATGTCGTTGCATCTGTCAATTTTCTTTTTGTTGAAGTCGAATCCTATCTGAATGGGATTTGTCTGTTTGTTAATTTCACACAGACGTAGTTGATCGTAATGCCTTTTTATTACGTATCCATTGTCGAGTTCAATTAAGTAATGTACACGACCTAGTCGTTCAGCTACGATACATATTTCCAAGGACCGGAAGTTGTGTAATTTCGGGATTGTACAAGATCTCCCACACGATAAAATTTGTAGAATTTCGATTGTTCGATTGTGTTCCTTTCGGAAGCTTGTGCCTGGGGTTTGAGCAAATCTAATTTTGTTCTTATTGTATGTCCTAATAAGTTTCTGCTGAACTTTTCCCGTTAGATAAGGGAGTCGCTCTATATCGGAATAATAGTTCATGAAGTTTCTGATGTAAGGTACCACTTTCATGTTTCATACATTTGAGGTGTGTTTTTAAGGTGTGGCAGTATCCTTCAGCCTGGCCATTTATGGCCAGCGTGTCCCGCACCGCGACACCTAGCCACAAATGCAATAGCGTAAACATGGACCAGCTATTAAACTTTGACGGATTCCGTTTCTCGAACAAAATTCTTGAAATTCTTGTGACTTAAAAATCAGTGGCGTGCTGTGACATTTGATGATAGGAAAGCTGTGCTTCTGATGTGTCCCTGGAAGGCGGCTTCTTACAGAAGCCGACTTCCAGGGGCAATCAGTCAGTGATGGTCTAAGGTCCATTCGTATTCGTTTGTTCGATAAGCCAGTAAAAACCGTAGACTTCTCTAAATGTATCTTTAATTAATAGCTTATCTTAATAAACAAGCAAGTTCAATATAATTACCTCTGTTATATTAGATTTAATAGATTCCTTATGCCTTCTAAATGCCAATTCTTGCTTCGATAACACCTACTAATTTAAATATAATATATCTATTAGCCGTAACTATCTTGTTATAATTTTCAATATTTATGTTATATTGTTTACTAATGTTAAATTCTTTTCTATTTTGATTTCCAAATTGCTTCAATTTTACGAAAGAATCGATGCGAGATTTACGATTTTCGTGTCTTTTGCCAGCTTTACTCGAATTATTTAAATCGTCAAAGCTAATCTCATTCCGCACACTAATTTTATTTGAAAATAGTAGGCAAGGCCAACAAAACAATTTTTGCATTTTTATGCATCCACAGAGCCATTTTATATCTTCATAAATTTTATCGTGAAAATGTCCAACAAATTTTTTTGCTGACGTATTTATATTAAATTTAGGTTTTTCATTATATGGTCTTGAGCCAAAACTTTTTCGAAATAAATTTTCAATATCGCAATTATATTCTAAATCACTAGTCATAATATAAAAGCTAAAATCAAAAATAAAATTATAAAAACTTACTTGTTAAAATAAAATGTGTGATGGATATACAATTATACATACCTGGTACAAAATATTCAATTGTATGAATATACTTTTAAAGAAAATTATAATTAAATATAGTTTTGTGAAGAAACGTACATAAAAATAACATAAAATATTCTTTACTTTTTAAATATTAAAACAATCCA